AGTTGACTTTGTTTTCTGTTTGTAGCCGCTCACACGAACTATCACGGCTTTTGCTTTGGCCAAGATGCTGGAGAAGGAACCAAACGGTGAGGTATGTCCATCGTTGGTGTGTGTTCACTGTATCGTTTTCCCATCTCCCCTTTACGAATTGAGAACGTCATCTTGTCGATAAAGAGGAAGCAACTTTTTGAGTACTTCGTTATTTTGCCTGTTTAACAAACTTGGTTGACCACCGATATTCCAGTCTCTGGATCACACCGACCCGATGGACCTCGAGGTCCCTCGGTGGCGTAAAAATAGAAAAGTTTATCACCAATCCTCAATGGTTTTGATACAGCCTCCGACAGACACTCCGGTGCAACAGCAACGAATTTGCTCGGATGTATATAACCCAGCCGTCTATAGCTTCAGACTCAGTTGACGAGACTCCGTGAGACATGGTGTTCACCCGCGTCATAACTCGGCAATCTCAATTCTTGTAATTCTATTAGACATAAAAACTAAAACCAACCGTTCAGGCAAACATTGACACGGCTAGCCTGTTCACAACCAATATGCAGTGCCGTAAAGTAGACAACCAGATTTGTAGCCGGATAATCATTGTCAACAGTGGTCTTATTGTTGATAAGTGGTGAGCCTGCGATGGTCTTTCAGTATCGCGCCCCAAGTAAAGTTTAGGGATCACACTGTTTGGCTCCTCAGATATCTATTTTTATCGCGCCGCTGTAAAACAAATTGTAAAACGCAATTCCCACAGCCCCGTAGACCCCAGAATATTGCAGGATCTTCTATTCTCCAAGATATTGACACCGTGAAAAAAGTGTCTCTCAGCAAAAAATTATCTACCGTCGTCCGGGTGCGGTAAAGATCAGTCTACCGAGTGACCAAGTGTCCTACTATCACTCATTCGCAATCTCACAAGTAACCGAATCACATAAATTTCTACGAAACAGGCAGCTCTGCTATCACGTTATGCAATACCATGTCTTTCATTTATTGAATATATATGGTTCACCACTTCTTATCCATGGGCTAGGGTTACCGGTTTCTCAAACACCCCCTCTTAAAGTTGCGATCAATTCGGTATACCCTTTCGCATTCTCTCACACACATCTTCCACCACAATTTTCGGTTCTGATCACAACATTGATTCTGTGTATCGTAACCAATAATCCACTTCTGCTCTATCTATTCTTTTTTCTTTCTGAGACTCATTTATCTTTTTCGAGAGATCCATGCATAAGACTCAGATATTTTCCTCCCTTTTCTGCTTCCAATTTTTTCTGACTCCCATTCACCATTAATTGTGACCTCCATTTCGTCCTGAAATCACGACCGGGTATATCACCAGCATACGTTGAATCCATCTCGTGCCGTGTTTCCCAGCTGTGGTAAATCGTCTCGCATCCTTAGGCATGGTGCATCTTATGATCCAACTACTTATCGTCTCATTCATCTCTAAGATGATGTTACTCAGTTTCAGTTCTTACAACTGTTAACCATGCATGTTCGTTTCGCAGTTTTCGTTGCTCTGTTTTGGTTGCCCATTCGGACCGAGATCGGAATGTTACAAGCAGTATCGAGGTGACATCAGATAATTCCAGTAGACTAAGGTTTCGAGGGGATTGGGAAACGCGCAAAACAACTTTGCTGACACTTGAAACTCTGCGAACTTTTCACTGACCGTCACTTCTCCCCTCTTCACCCATTTTAGGAAAACAAGTTACTTTTAGTCGTTACCCTGTGAACCATTTGGATGAGAGAAGTAACGGTGTGCTTAAAATTGATACTGGCCGTTAACTGGTGGAGAGCACATGAATTTGCTGATCGCTGTTAAGTTTGCTTGTGTTGTGTACCTTATTTTATTTAGACACTGTCTTCCACCATTGTCTACCATGACAATTGGCACTTGATTCTCAGAATCTTTAGGGTGCTCAGTCGAGCTTGCACAATGGTTTCCTGACAAAAATTCCCAGTATCCATATTTATCCAACCGAATCGATTGCGGCGGTTCAGTTTGTGCAGTCTGGGAATTTCCAGGGTTTTCCCTCAAAACCGATCTTGCAGCTTTGGGCTTCCACTCGTCCTACTCGGATTTACGGGTTCTCTATTTCATCAAAACAGAAAGAAGACAAATGTTGCGAGATGTTAACATTTCGTTTAATCTTCTCCGTCGCTGACTTAAAACAAACTGGCACATTTAACACAGGATTAATCAATTATGGTGAATGAACGTGTACTTACATACAAAGATTGCTAAATTTAGAAGTAGAAGGTCATCTCCAGGGTAAATGGATTGGTTGTATCGAAAACTTTTGTGCGCACAAGGTCGGGTGATATAATCGAATAAGCAGTTCTTCATTAATCGCAAAACGTTAAGCATCGCGATTACGTAATAATGGTTTGAAAGACGAATTGGAATCTACTGTGTGTCTGGTTTCCATCAGATGTTTTGCAACAGATGACTCGATTTCTTGTAATCACTTGGCTATCAATTATCGGTTGCGTCATCGATTTCATCAATCACTTTGAAATGTGTTCGGCCATCCGTTGTGAGAGCTGCCGGTTTGTTCTGCCTATGTATGCGTCAGCGCAACTACAGGTGATCTGGCATACTGTGTGAGACGGAACTGGNCGGAACTGGTTTGCCAGCCAAGTTTACGTTTGTCCAGATCAATTCCATGAGTGGAGGCAATGAGTCTGAGTTGAGCAGCTGGGAATGTACGGTCTAGAGCTGACCTCAACTTCTGGCGCACATCATTGTAAATGTTGTCACCTTTGAACGCAAGCTTCATGTAGATGGCCTTTTTACTGGCATTTTGAGTTGGGTACCTTTTAGGAATGGTCTACCGTGAATGTCTATAAACCTTTCTGGGTAAACATTGTTTAGCACTGTTCTGCTTAGGAATTCCTCCTCTTCCTTTAGTGTATCTGGTGAACTCGCTGTCAGACAAATTCAAGGTGATTAGGCTGTCATGTTTCTGTTTCGACGGCTTAAAAATGCCCATTGTCGAATGTATGAGAAATATGGTAGGCAGCGGAGCAAAGGGCGAATGTCTCTGAGTTCCTAGTACATTCCAATCGGCCGGATTCGCAGTTGGGGTGTTTCAGAAAAAGTACCACTTCTGTGCAACTAGTAAAAACTCAGCTTTGTGAAGTTTTTACTGCAGGTTAGAAAGACAGATTGGAGCTTTCATATCAGGCACCATATGTTCCATATCCTCAACAGCCGGCCGCTTCGCACCTGAAGTCGTAGCGTAGCATGGTGCCGTTGCGTAGCAGTTCAGCCTCGGGGTAAGAGAATCTTAACCATCAGGCTGCCACTTTCTCGTCGAATCACATTTGAAATCATTTGAACGCAGTATGTGAACATCCTGTGGAATTTTGTTTACTTCAACTTTGCTGTTTACCTAAATTAAAATTTACAAACTTTCCTACAGTTACTCGTGAATTACAATCTTGATAATGGATGTCTTTGAAGTCGATCGGCTATTCTTTGAAAATCACTAGCAGTCGTTATTTAATCCCATCATACATGTTCATCAGAGGCAATAGGCTTTTGCGTGGTTTCATCCATGTTGTTTTCGTGCTTCTCATTGTGTTCATCGGTTTGTATTCTTGTTTGTTTCATTCCTACCCCACCCCAATTTCTGTGCACATCATTAACACACACACACACACACACACTCTATCTCGTTTTTTTTTACCTTGGTTTGGTCACGCAGTCCGATGCATTCTTCCAGGATGTCTATCTAAAACAAAACTTCATCCCGCTCGTGCTTTCTCAACTGGACGAGAATCCACCTTATCTGGATGTGGAAATATATGTGCGTCTGCGTCTATGGCTTATTTTCGCCCTGGCCAAAGTAAGCGAGTCTGATGCATCCATGCCCCGGGTTCTGTTTTTTTGTTTAGAGTTATCTGGAATTCTTCAGTCATTTTAATTAAATCACTTCCTTGCTTGTCACCCGTTTTGTATTGTTATCTGTTCTATACACAAGTCGATCGATCGCCCACGGTTACAATGTATTAAAAATACCGTACTGCTGTAATCTTTTACCAGTGGTTATAAATGAAGCCATCGCCTCGGATCTAAACTCTCTTTTTCTCTCCCTCTTATCCGCTGATCAGTTTCATTTAGTTTTCCAATGGTTTTACAAACAGGCGCTGGTGAAATAGAAAATCCGTGCACTCGATAATTCGCCTTGACCACACCGTCATATTTCTTCTTCATTTCCAACTTCTTTGTTATGATCTCACTTGTGAATGAATACATATGTGCTGCAATTGTAGGTCTGGCGTGACAATGACGAAGCTCGCTGGTTCGGGGTGCGATATAACGTAACCGAAGTTTTGTTCACTTACCTCGACGACATTTCCCCGGAGGTCAGTTCCCGTTTGCTTGTTTCATTGTTTTGTTGCGCTTTCCCGGTCTCGGTTCTACCTACATCTTCGCTTCTCCCCTCTTCTGTGTCTATTAGGTTCGGGCAGCCACCGTATATGCACTGGGCACGCTGATCGCGAATCAGACCGTGGATGCATCGAAACAGGATCATGCGGATCAGGTGAGTGTGTTGTATCTTTTGAGTTTGTGTTCCCCGCCCCGGTCGCTCACTATACAGGCGAGCGCCATCATCCTTCATCAAGCGGAACCCTAATGCCTTTTTATCCTTACAGGAAATTCATCACACAGTGCAGTTGAATCCCTTGCAACAAGTAGCCACGTTCGCAACAGTCCCATCCTAGCCATAACCTCGGAAGATTCTACCGAGATCAGCAAAACACGTTGCCCACAACAAGCTTGAAAAATGAAACTGCTCAGTGGGATGTAGAGACAGTAAACCAGTCCGACGAACTGCCCCATGGTCAAGTGGCTAGTATACTCTCATTCACTCTGTTCGATCATGAGTTGAATCCATGGAATTACTCCGAGGAATCCTAGCTCGGATTGCACATCCAAGTGCGAACTCAGGAGCTGCATGATTGTATGGTTATACACTACAGATTACCACATCTTGGATCCATAAGTCTTTTGGGTCGATTAGGGAATCACTTCATGAGAACTGGAAGGAACAGCTGCCGTTTTTCCGATAGTACACTCCTACCAANTACCAATACTGCGCGACGTTGTCCACGGCGGAGCAAGGGGTTCTGACCGCTGATCCCTAGATCTCCACCCCCAAATCTGAGACGAACTTTGGCGACTCATGATCCAGTCGTTCACTGCCTTCCCAGTTCTCTATACTTAGGGGTGCTGTGAGAAATATGATATCCTCAATAATATACGTGGTATGTAACATGCACCACCTAACGGCAAACTATACCGACATCCAGATATTATATATACCAACTCGTGCGATCAGTTTTCAGATCATAGCTCCACTGCCCTGAACCTTGCTTGTCCCGGTAAACGTCGTGCATGGAGGTTTATCCTATCTGTAGGCATACATAATACACAAGATCAAACCACTGCCATCACTGTAACTCTGATTTCAACATTTCTTCCTTCCTTCCAACCTATCATCTGAATGCGCAGCTAAAAGGCAACCAAATCCGCCTCCCGAAAATGTTCGTTTAAACGGAAACTGGAACCTGGAACCGCCACCAGCGACGGGTCAGCAAACTCCAGTTAGTGTGTGTGACCGCTCTGCACCAAAAGTCAGCATCGGTTATCTGGTTATCCCACCAGTCTAGTGTGGTTTTCGAACATCAATAGTGGTTTGGGTTTATCCTTCTCGTGTAGCGCCACTGATAGAACCGCTGCAGCATACACTAGGTTCATCACCGATAACAAAATATAAGCCTCACGTAAGCGTTTTGAAGGTTCATCCGCGATACGTTAGCTAGGTGCAAAGTGGTAACCCAAGTAAGGAAACTTGTCTGCTTCCTCTAGCACCTTTCCTGTTTGAGTCAGATCGGAACCCTGGACACCAAAATTCTTCATGGCATTCGGATGTTTAACCAAATGCTGGCCATAACCAAAGTCATCATCCATAAAAGTTATAACCTATATGAAGTGGTCAGGTCACCAACTTGTGATCTGTGAGTCCCGGGGTCGAACCGCTCCACCGCCGCCCGTCTTCCCAGACAGCCTTTTTATGGTCGCTGCCCCCTTCCTGAATGTTGACTGTTCAATGTGTCGTTCAGTGTCATTTCCCCCCTCCCGGGGTTGGGGAGGGGGGTTGATTTATTCAACGCGACATCATAATGAACTTTTTTATTACACACCTAGGTGTGATGAACAGCAGACGGGGTAAATCCCATAGTCACAAAGACCTGCTGTTCAGTGGTTGAAATCAGCAACTTAAGCCCCGGAAGTAGAAGTGGCGAACCACATAAGACCCCGATAAGTTATGCGTGGTATTGAACCGTACGACAGCAGAGCTGCCTACCACCAAAGTCGGGCGGCGGTGGCGGGGCTCGAACCTCGGACAATAGGGTTCAAAGCACGCCGGTGACAGCGACTAAACCACTGCGCCACCACCACCATCTGTTAATCCGTGTCATTATTTCACAACAACCGTGCTCATGAGTAAATCATCCAATCGGGTTGTAGTAGCATTTTCTTTACAACCTAACGTGAGATGTTGCTCATAGCTGCATCCAGTCATTTCCAGATCGTTCTATTGTTTCTCTCCTGAAGTCAGTGTAACTGTAGGTATTACTTCTACCGACGTAAAGCCTACATTTCTGTCAAAACTGTACACAGTAGAAGAAACAAACGAATGTGAAGTCCTTAAACTTTTTAAAAACTGCGAAAACTTCGGTAATCAGAATACATACCATAGAGTTACGATATGTTCAAGCTCTTAATCGTATAATGTGAATTTTTGTTAGTCAATCGATGTCCTACATTGTGTAGTGCGGCTTTGCAGCGCATTCAATTGTACAACAGGTAACCGGATATACTCACCAGAATGGCGGTATCCCTATCAAAGTCAAGCAAAGTCCGTGCCAGTGTGTTATACAGCAACCATCATTTCGTTTCGATTGAAGGTTCACGATTGTCCCATGTCCACCCATGTTTTCACGTCCAGATCAGTCATCAAGTGGGCGCACGCCTCGCTCGTGTGGCTTATCTGGATGCTAGTTGGCTTGTGCGCTGTGAGCTTGTGGTTGCATTTGCTGGTCTGGCTCGTCAGTTCGAAGTCCAATTGTGCGCAATGGCCATGTGTAGTGCACAGGAATGGAACGATGGTTGTAGTCCCGCTCCGACCACGGTCAGTCATATACCCGTCGGATCCGGTCGTCCGGCTCGGCATTCCGTCTCCGGTAAGCCATTCCCAGAGAAACTCTGCTATATGTCTGACTCGCAGTTTGTCAATTGCTAGATTTCAATGGAGAAGCCTATCAGGCGTCGTAATAGGGAACTCGCGTTTGACATTTGTCCTTGCCTTCATTCTATGCATGTTTTCCAGCAATCTTTTATGCGATCCCTTCAACGTTCTTATCGAGTTTGCACTCTTCAAGCAAGTGAACACCAGCATCCGAGAAGTAATTGCGAAACTGGGCAGTTTGGGTGCTTACGAACCAAATGGTGCACGACAAATTGTCGGATACAGGAAGTGTTTATGCGACTTCTTGTGTGCAATGTATGTGACCGCTGTCAGACCTATCGGGACTCGTGACGGGCACCCACGACTTTATTGTGATCAGTTTCGGTAAACGATCTTTCGGAAGGAAAAAATCTATGCACAGAAAAGATGTGTTATTTGACCCCCCAACACGTGTCCGGCCAATACATGGTGGCATGCGCAAGCTTGTCCTTGGAAGGATGGAACCACCGACGTTCCTGTGTATGCTATCAGTGTACGCTAGATCACACATATTGAGTACTCCGTTTAAACCTGAAACCCGTGGTTGCGATACGATCACAGGGTTGGGTGAAATTCACAAAGGATGCGGACAAACTCGATCAATTTACCGCATTCAGTTCTGTAGGAATAGAAAAAGTCATCCTGGGTTTATACTCCTTATCCTATCACCGAATTCGAGAAGACTTTTTTCTGATGTATCAAATGCTGCACAACCCCAACTATCTATGTCGTACGCTGCTCATTGCACCGCACATCATCCACCTCTGGAAACCTCTGCTTGATTTGTTGCTCCAAAAGTAGCGGCTGGAATTCGGGCGCCATTCGTCGGCCCTCCGAGTGTACTTTAATTGATTTTCCTTACCAACTCGCCGTGTCTGTGTGCCCCTTCCAAAATTATATCTATATTTCACACACGTCTGAGCTCACACTGTGTAACGAACAAATCACAGTACAATAATAGAGAAATACAAAGTTCCATGATTACTACGTGACCAGAACAATGCCAGGTTACCCAGGCCTAGGTAGGTAACTTTTCTTGGGGAATTCGCGACCAGATCCTCCGATTAATCAAAGGTTTATTCACATAGCAGCGGTGCAGTGCGTGAAAGTCGCAATCCATTGGGGGCCAGTGTCGAGTTCGTCGAATTATACGCCCATTTGATGGCGTGAAACGTCGAAGGTGCACAATGCACCTCGATACCTAATCGGGCCGGATGTTGGCTTTTCGTCCTCTCACTTTGTTGAAACAACGCCTCTGCCATGGGAAAGCAATGAGTTGGACTTCTTGGCAGGGGCGATTACAGACACTTATTGTATTGAAGCATTTAACGAGATGCCAGGGAATGGTGGCCAGCCTTGACCTGAGACATGCACCGCTGACCATACTTAGGCTTACGAAGCCCCTCCCCAATGTTT